AGTGCATGGTGATAGATAAGGGTCTAGTTTTAATCTTTGGCAGGCTGAAATCCAGTTTTTCCAACATCATTTATTAAAGAGGCTATCTTTCCTCCAGTGAGGATGGTTGGCTCCTTTGTGAAAGATGAGGTAGCTGAGTACATCTGGAGTTGTTTTTGTATCTTCCAGTCTGTTCCACTGATGCTCAAGTCTGTTTCTTTGCCAGTACCATGCTGGTTTTATCACAGTGGCTTTGTAGTATAGTTTCAAATTGGGAATTGTTATACCCACTGCCTTGTCTCTGTTGCCTACAATGGCTTTTGCTATTCTAGGCCTCTTATGGTTCCAAATGTATTTTTTGATTATTTTTTCTAGTTCTGTGAAATATACTGTTGGAATTTCAATCAGCATTGCATTGAATCTGTGTAGCAGTTTTGGTAGTATGGCCATTTTCCCTATGTTGATTCTTCCTACCCCGGAGCAAAGGATATCTTTCCATTTTCTTATATCCTCTTTGATCTCTTTTTTCAGAGTGCTGTAGTTTTCAGTGTAGAGGGCTTTTGCTTCTTTCATTAGATTGATTCCTAGATACTTCATTTTTTTGGATGCTGCTGTGAAAGGAATTGTTTCCCTAATTTCTCAGTGAGTCTGTTATTTGTGTACAAGAAGGCTATTGATTTTTGAGTGTTGACCTTATATCCAGCTACTCTGCTAAAAGTGTCAATTAAGTCTGGAAGTCTTTTGGTGGAATTTTTTGGGTTTTCAATGTAGAGTATCATTTCATTAGCAAATAATGACAGTTTAACTTCTTCCTTTCCTATATTTATTGCTTTAATTTCTTTCTCTTGTGTAATTGCTGTGGCTAATGCTTCCAGAACTATATTGAAGAGGAGTGGTGACAGTGGACATCTTGTCTTATTCCTGATTTTAACATGAAGGTTTTCAGTTTTTGGCCATTTAATAAGATGTTGGCTGTTGGTTTTTCATAGATAGCCTTTATTAAGTTCTGCACTGCAAAAGAAACCATCAACAGAACTAAAAGACAACCTACAATGTGGGAAAAAATTTTTACCAGCTGCTCCTCAGACAAAGGACTATTATCTAGAATATACAAAGAACTCAAAGCAACAAGCCCCCCCAATAGAAAGACCTGAGTCAAAAATGGGCGCCTGAAATGAACAGACATTTCTCAGACAAAGAAGTAAAAGCAGCAAGTAAATATATGAAAAAATGTTCCACATCACTGATCATTCGAGAGATTCAGATGAAAACAACACTGAGATTTCACCTCACCCCACAAAGAATGGCTCCTCTCAAGAAATCACACAATTACAAATGTTGGTGGGGTTGTGGGGAGAAGAACCCTTCTCCATTGTTGGTGGGAGTGCAGACTGGTGCAACCACTGTGGAAATCAATATGGAGATACCTCAAAGAGCTTGGACTAGAGCTTCCATTTGACCTAGCTCTCCCTCTGCTGGGTATCTTTCCAAAAGATTAAAAGAATCATATATGTGCACCCATGTTTATAGCGACACAGTTTGTAATAGCTAAAAACTTGGAAACAGCCCATTCGCCCATCAGTTGGAGACTGGATAAAGAAGATGTGGTTTTTCTATAAAATAGAATACTACTCAGCCATAAAGAATGAGAAATTAGATTCATTCATAGGACAATGGATAGATATTGAGGATATACTCCTAAGTGACATAAATAAGTCACACATGTATAAATACCAATAATTTCTCTGGTGTGAAAAACTATAATGGTACATAAGATCCTAATGGTATAAGTAAGAATGTGAAGTAGGAAGAAAAGGGCTAAAGGTGTGGGGAAAATGGGAAGGGGAGGGGAAAGGTAATGAGGGAAAATAAATAAAAACATGAGAAAATGAAAAAATGGAAATAAAATATTTGTAAATAGGGAAGGGAGGAGGGAGTGAAGGGAGGGCAGGGGTATGGGGAAAAAATGAGAACCAAGATCTGTCATGTAAAGGTAGAAGATCCCAATGATGAATGTGACTGTACTGAAGACCTAATGTACCAATAAACTCAATGAGAAAAATAAATAAATAAAAATGAGGAATAGACCTAAACAGATATTTCTCAAAGGAAGACATGTAAATGGCCAATTGGCATGTAAGGAAATGCTGGATGTCAGTGGTCACCGAGGAAATGCAAATCAAAACAACAGTGAGACATAACCTCACTTCGAAATAACGACTGCTGTCCAAGAGACAAGAGGTAAGCGCTGGTGAGAAAGGGACAAAAGGAATCCATGCACCCTCTTGGTGGGAATGTGAGTTAGAAGACTTACTATGGAAAACAGTATGGATGTTTCTCAAATTAATAATGGAACCACCATGGGCAGGGATTTGGCTCAGTGTTTCCAATTCCTGCCTTGTAAGCGCAAGGTCCCAAGTTCGATCCCTGGTACCAAAAGTAAAAAAAAAAAAAAAGAAAAAAAAGAAATCAGTACGTAAGAGTCACACAATAGCCAAGGAATGAAAACAAACTAACTGTCCATAAACTGGTGAATGAAGAAACAAAAAAATATATATGCAATGGAATACTGTTTGGCTATAAAGAGAATGAAATCCTATCATTTGTGACAAAACAGATGGAGTTGGTAATCACTGTATTAAGTAAGTCAGGCACAGAAGGAGAAGTATGTACTACATGATCTCTTATATGTGGAATATACAAAAAGTTCTCATGGAAGTTCAGGGCAAAATGGTGGTTACTGAGGGTGGGGAAGTAAGCTCCAGTGTGCCATTGCTTGGTAAGGAGAGAACCATTGAAAGATACAGAGTTCATTATGAAATGTTGAAAAGGTTCCAGATGGCTTTGGGGATGACTGCATATCTGTAAATACATCAAAAACCACTGAGCTGTGAACTTAAGTGGGTAGACTATTTTAGTAAAGTTGTTTAAAATGATAACGACAATGTACTGTGTATTTCAAAAAGCTAGAAGAAAAAAGTTTGAGTGTTTTTAACCATAAAATGGTGAATGTCTGATGAGATACATTTAACCTGACTTAACATTACACAGTGTGTATAGATGCGTCAGAATATCACATGGTACCCCATGAATATGGACAGCACTTCTACTTTTAATGTATTTGCTTAAAAACTAAAAGTGAAAGGCAACTCACTCAGGACCCCTTCTTGTCCTTCAGGAGCTATTTCTATTTCCCAATAACCCTTTCCCACTCTTTCCTTAAAAAGAAAGAAAAGAAAGGAGGTGTTACTACTGACTTTGTAGAAATAAGGATTATAAAAAATACTATTAATAACTGGATGTCAACAAGTGAAATGACTTAGATGAAATGGACATATTTTTTAGAAAGACATATACAACCAAACCAAAACTCACCCAAGAAGAAATTCAGAGTATCAGAACAGACCTATAATAAATAAAGAAACTGAATCACAAAACCACATGCAAAGGAAAATGGTTTCAATAAGTAATTCTACCAAGCACTGAAAAAAGTAATTATTTGTATTTATAAACTCTGCTAAAAATAGAAGAGGAAAGAATTCCCTATTTTACCCTTGGTGTCAGAGCCAAAGACATCACAAGAAAACTACAAACCAATATCTCTTAGGATGTGGATGTACACTCAGAAATGGACATGAAAACACAGGGAGAAGGCAGTTGTCTGAACCATGAACATAACACAGAAGGCAAAGGCACATTATTCTTGAATTTCTAGTCTCTAAAAATGGGAAAAAAATAAACGTCTGTAGTTAAATGGAACATAACCGTCAGAATGAAACCCAAACTCATATATCTGTGTTCACTTCATATTCAGCAAGAATGTCAAGACCATCTGCTGTGGTCCTCCGAGGTTTCTTTCATGTGTTGAAATTTCATCCCCATGGTGAGTTATTAAGATAGTGAAAACTCATCTAATGAACCTCAAAAACTTTACTAGCCTAAAGACTCCAGCTACAAAGGACAAGATCTTATATGGTTTTATTCATATGAGAATTTAGAATAAGGAACCTATACAGAAAGTAGATTGGTGGTTCCCTGGGAGGTGGACAAGTGTGGAGAGCTGGGCAGATTGTAGAAGGACAGAAACAAACATTGAAAGATTCAGAAATGCTGAAAATGTTCCACATGACTTTGGTGATGACTGCATATCTGTAAATATATCAAAAACCACTAAGTTGTACAACTTAAGTGGGTAAACTGTATTTCCACAAAGTTGTTTTAAAAAATCAGGAAAATTCTGTACTAGTATGAGAAACTGGGTCCAGAACAAAAACACATTTGACTTGAAGAAAGAGATGATCTACCTTTGTGCAATAACCATTTGACTAAAAGGCAGTAGGAAAATTCCTGGGGGAAACCCTACCGACACTTCCAAAGCTCCAGAGGGGTGGAGGTGGCATGTGAGGTGCCATGCTGGGATTGATGAGTCGCTCTGGGCCTTTCTGGCTCCACCTGTGAGAGCTGCAGATGTGGTGGGGTGTGTGCTGGCAGGATAGCAGTTCTTGCCAACCTGTGCTAACTGTTGGATACCCAGCTGGATGTAGAGAAAACGTTCTGACCAAGAGGCAGGGCTTTCTGCTATGACTGCTTATAGCAGTTTTTTTCCCCTTTTTGGTGTGGGGATTGAACCCCAGGACCTTGTACATTCTAGGCAAAGAGTGTACTGCTGAGCTATACCTACCCCTCTCTCCAAGTTTACATAGACTAAACTCATAGTATACACTGCAGGAAAACTCATCTTTTCTTTTTTGGCTTCATCTGTGTTAGAAGGATTCAAACAGGAATGAAGAATAACCTCCAAAAGAATCTTTTTCCAGTGCTAGTGAACAATAAGTCAGTGCTAAGAATTCTCCTACTCTGGATACCAAGAACTCTTTCTAAAACTCAAAGATTGACATACTCATTTATCTCTTTCATCTACATACTACTTTTGCCAGACAATAGACATAACCACCCAAATACTCCTGTCTCCCTTGCCAGGGCACGAAGTGTATAATGCAAGAGAGAGGTAAGCAGCTCACCGGTGTCAGGTGTGTGCTCCGGCCAGCCTGTGAGGTTCAGTCCACTGGGGGCACTCTGGGACAGTGTTTGGCTTCTTCTAGGGAGATGTAGAGATTCTGGAGAGGCGGCAGTCATCTTCCTCCAGCACTGAGAGGAGGAAAGAGGCAGAGAAGGTAAATGAAGAAAACACATGATAGGCTGTCCTGGCCACCTTTTAATTTCTCTAATTCCCTAGCACTTTTCCTGAGAGCAGAGCACACAGCGAAAATACACAGCTCCAGGAAGCACTTTTCACACTAGAGTTCTTGAGAGAAGCTTCGCCTGGAGTCTGCAGTGTGCAGTGTGTATGGTCAGATGTGCCACCCCGGCAGGATAGGCTGCAGTTCAGTAACGTGAAATAAAAACATGGAGGTTTCAGGCACCCAAGTATTCCCTAGCTGGTTAGCCATACAGCAAGTCAGCTGGTTTTAGCTCAGGCACATTATTTATGGGACACTTAATCAAAATACAGCTTACAAAGGCTTTAGTACCTCATAGTTATGAAATGGGACATACTCTTCAGAGAATTAGGTTGACTCTTATTGCACAGGGTCTTGGGAAAAGAAGGGATATTGTTCTTTATTTTAAATCTTCTCATTGTCCAGAGACTGGCCTCTTCCATTGCTTTTTCTACTTTATAAGATTACTGTGTTGATTAAAAAATCATGGTACATATTCAAAAAATGCTTGTTATCTTTTTATTTTTATATTCACACTATTAAGCAAACAGTGCTTAGAAAATTCTTTTAGTAATTGCTGGAAACATAAATATATAAAGACTTGTGTATACCACTCCATCTCTTCCATTTGAATGCAACTGAAAACCTTGGACAAATTGAATAGATGGGCTATCTGAGGACTCTGAAAGCAAGTGATAACAGGTGGACTGGGAGGGGAACCGTATTTGAGGTTACCTGGATCCCCTAGTTTCTCCTATTTTATTGTTCCTGTGGTACCCCCTGCCTGAACATAGCAGCTTGAAACTGGTCATGGACAAAACAGCTTCCTAAAGAAGGTGTCTCTGCTCTGAAGAGGGAAAGGAATCTCCATGGGCATGGACAGAGGGAATCCAGGGTATTTTGACGTTGCTTTCTCCCATCCCAGCCTTCAGACAGTGGTGGCCAGGCAGGTACTCTAAACCCCACAGTTCAATTTTCAAAGACATCAGTCTACTAATGATAGTCAGACCCCCTTGTACACAGTTAGATGTGATAGGTCCCAGGCTGACCACTGGGATCCATATTATCCAAATGTCACCATAGGCATCTAAAAACCGGAACTTATCTAAGAAACAGTCCCACAAGGCCAGTAAGAATTTGTAGCCTGAACTGAACTGGGTTAGTTGCCTGAAAAACTTGATAATTATTATCCATAGGAACTAAACAAGGCTTAAAATCTAACATATTCAGAATGTCCAACATACAATCTAAAGTTATTTATTATGTGAAGAACTGTAAACATCTAAATTTACAAAGAGAAATTTGTCACAAGACAAATTATGCCAACACCAAGGTGACACATTTGTTGGAATTTTCAGACAGAAACTGTAAAGCAGCTCATGTATAACCATGCTCTAGGAAGTAAAGGTGACACTCTTTTTAAAATTACTTTTAAATGTAAACGTGTGTTTATTCACAATCCTTGAGAAGTCACCATTCCATCAGAAAATTCTACGAATCAAAAAGAAAAATTGCAATAGTAGCTTATGACAACCAAAAATATACACCTGTTGTATATAAACCTTAGAAAGTGTTGCACAGGCAATATAAAGAGAGTACTTTTCAATATTTCCAGGGACACAGCTGCAACTTGAACTAAGACATAAATAACAGCATTAGATAATTATTGTATTTATATATTAAAGTGTGATTTAGATTAAAAAAGGACAAAATAAAACTACAGTTGTCATTGCCTAGCAGTTCAAATATTGAAAGGGCCGTGTGTGTGTGTGTGTGTGTGTGTGTGTGTGTGTGTGTGTGTGTGTGTTAATACAACAAGAACTTTAAATTACTATTTATTTCTGGACCTTCGTATATTTCTGAGAACATGCAGTGTCACTGTTGCGAGAGAAGGAAAAATAGAGAAAGTCTGCTTACTCAAATCATACTCAATCCTGAGCAAAATCAAGGAAAACGGTTAGGGGACATTTTATATCCCCGACTTTTATATTGATGTGTAAACTTTAGGGCAAAAAGAGCTGAACTGTCCATCACAAAAGGCAGTTATACATAGTGACATGCTACTGCCATCCCATCAGAGCAACTCATGCTATAAGGAAAAGGAAGCCATAATAAATCAGGACCTTTCACACTAGAAAGGATTTTATTTTCTTTGAAATACCCATCTGACCTTTTTACATTTTTCTTTCTTAAGGCATTCAGAGAATAATGTTCTGTGTAAAATCTTTATAAGATCAGTCATTGGAAATACAGAAGTAAAAAAAAAATGGCACCTAAAAACTCAATAAATCAATTTAAAATCAACATAGTTCCATGTAAAAGAAGTATAAATCCTAAATATATTTTAAAAGATACTTTTATTACCAACTTAAAATTTCCAAACTCTAAAAGCTTATTTTTAAAAAATAGTTTGTTTAGATTGAATCAATATCATACTAGGATATATAATAAATGAGAAAGAAACTGATGCTTCATCATTCCTTAAATCATCTATTCAAATCAATTGTGCTTCCAATTAGATAACAGAATTCTAAGAAGTCCTAGAATGAACACTGATAGGAAAGGGAAACCATTCTAAATCTGAACCTGACAATCCCTCTCAAGCTAAAGGTGACACTCTTGAAGTGAATGGAAAACAAGAGCAGCCAAATGGATACCAAAAAAGCTGGAATAGAAATACTAAACTAAAACATGTAATGAATGACATAAAAATTCACTGACAAAGTCAATTATGAAATGAGAGGAAGAATCAGTAAACTTTAAATAGTGCACTAGAAATTATCCAATCTGAAAGACTGAAAGAAAAAATAGGGAGAAAAAGTGCCTTAGGGATTTGCAGGACAACAAAGGTATAACATTTGGTTATTAGTCTCTCTTATAGAAGGAAAATAAATTTGGTGCCAAATAATTCTAAGAAATAATTACCAAAAATATTGCAGATATTATTGCAAACAGCTAAGTTAGTAATTATTATAAGGCAATTAGACAAGGCTGGCCCTCAAGGAGCCAACATGGAAGACCATCTAGACACATTCATTGACAGTCAACACGGTAAAAGAAAGGAAACTATTATACCCCTGAGCTTCCCCTAGGGGTGATAGTAGAGACTGATATTCTAAATGGGTATCAATCACCTGGGTGATGGACCAAGACTTTAACCCACCCCTTCCAGGAAAGGCCCCTGACCTATCCCTTACCAAAAATCCTTACTTGTTAATTGGATCCCCATTTAATCAATATCACCTAAGTAACTATACTTGTTGTAATCTTACTAGTTGACTATAGTTTTGTCTCACTTTGTACCCGCCTCACTATGTGACTAGTGTATATCATGATAGAAGGAGAGTCACTAAAGGAAAGAATGTTCCCATGCTTTCAAGGAGAGCCATGTGGTTCAGCACAGACCGTTACCCATGCTGGCAGATGATACATCTGACAGAAAGAACTGAAAGAGTTAACAGACTCAGATCATGGTCCCAAAAACAATGCCTGAGGAGACTTAACTGACCTTTGTATATCAGGATGTATATTATGATTGACAAAGGACTAACTTTGACTTGGTCTTAACAGTAGGACATAGCCAGAGACGTGTACGAATAATAACAATACAGGGTAGACATACAGAGGGAGGATCCAATCACTGGGCCCTGCTGACAGTTCTAAGGGCCAGCTGGCTACAGTTGCTATTCCAACCCTTTAAAAACGGTGTGTGACATGACTCCTTCCCCAATCTGCCTCTCCATTCTATTGCTCATGCTTTGGTCGTATGTGCTTTGATCTCTTGGTAATGCTCGTTTATTCTTGCTTGGAAGCTGCCAAACTCTAAGTGATCTTACGGTCAAAACCCACTATAGAGCTGCCAGACTCCTTCACCCAGGCCCAACTGAAGAACCTTCTGGCTGAAGACTTCCATTTGCTGCTCCCCAACTATGACCCCACACAGTTTAAAGAAGTCAGATGAGTCATTACCCATCTCCCCATCAGCAGTTGGATGGTTGTCTCAGAGTGGAGAATGTACAGACAAGCAGCCCTATAGGTAGAGAAAAGAGAAGATGAAGGCTTCATTGAGCCTTATTAAAAATTAGGCAACTCTGACCTCTGCAGCCAGACTTCAGTAATTAGCAAAGCTAGACTCAAGCAATTAGACAAAGGCAAAAGATGAGGAAGAACTCAAGATCCAGAAGTTCCTAGGAGGTATGATTAACATAGGAACCACAAACTTCCTTTACTTAATCCTTGGACCTAAACATAAGGCCCCCTCCCATAATCCTACCTACTGCCACCAAAGGAAAGGGAAAGTCTTGCCAGAAGCAATCAAACGTTAGGATGATGAAAGATGTTCCAGGAAGCCAATCGGATTCCAGGAGCCTACATGAGACAAGAATCTCAACAAAGGAACTGCAGGCAAATCTACGAGTATTTCCCTTTTGAGTACTTCCTACTTTTCCAAAGAAGCTGTATGCCATGTCTGTCCTGCTTTTTCTCCACCTTCAAATAAACCCACTTTTATTTAAAAAAGAAAGCAGCTGGAAACAAGAAACAGACCATATAGAGGGGAACAATCATTCAACTGTGGCAGATTTTTCACAGACACAAGAAAGAACTGGAACACTACTCCTTTATCCTGTTGCATTGGTGTACACATCTATTTTTGTGCCAGTATCCTGCTGTTTTTGTTACTATGGTTTTGTAGTATGATTTCAAATTGGGTAAACCTTTTGCTCTTTGCTTTAGGATTCTGTGGCTTTTGTGCTTCCTGGTGAATTTTAGGATTTTTTTTTCTAGTTCTGTGAAAAATGTCATTGGTATTTTGATGAAGGTTGCAATGAACCTGCAGATCACTTTTGTTAATATGGACACTTTGACAATATTGTCAGTCCATGAATGTGGGAGCTCTTTCCATCTTCCTTTTTCCTCTAATTTCTTTCT